TCTTATATTTCGTACCCAGGCAAAGGAACACCAGGAGGCATTTCTCAATTCATTTCTCATGAGGACAAAGGGGCTGACAGTCGGGAAACATGCAGCACATAGTGGAGAGATGCTCACCAGCCACCAACCTGAATTCTTAAAAAGAGTCACACAAATCTGCAGGGTGGTGGAGAGGGTGTAAAGAGATACAAAGACACTTAGGAAGACAAGGATGGCTTGGGTGGCTCTGGTCTCAGGGGAGGATCTCAAGGCGATGTTGGACGTATGAATGTGTTGGACCCTCTGTTGGTGTCTGTACAGGATGAAAACCATGGAGCCGCTGGCCCAGATCATGAGCCCCAAACACACAGAATCAGGGAAGGATAACAAGACTGCAATCAGTGAGTTCATGGTACTATCGAGGATTACAGCAGAACAGTAGACAAAATCTCTGTTCTTTGCGATGCTTTGATTGCCTCCATTTCCATTCACACACACAATACAAATGGTACTTGACAGCAGGTGGAGGGTCCAGCACAGGAGTATGGAGAAGCCAACATACTTGGGAGCTTTCACCTTCAGCTCTGTCCACCTGGAGTTTCCAGGGCTGATGATGATGACCTGATAGATGCTCAAGAGGCAGGTGGTGCCCATGGACATCCCCCTGCCCACTCTGTGAACATAGAACACAAGCTTGCATCCAAAATCATTGAGGAAATCCTTCCATCCAAATGCTTCCATGGTCTGGGGGATTCCTCTAGAGAGAAGGACCAGGGAATTGGCCACAGTCAGGTGTGTGAGAATCAAGCGTGTGGACCTTAACCTGCATTTAGTAAAGTAAAGGAAGACATAATGGAAAAGAAGAGAAAAATTCCCCAGGATGCCAACTATTGTCTGTGATAAGAAGATCATTCCTATTGCCAGATCTCTGGAGGCCATTTTCTCAGTTCCGGGTGATTGGGATTTGTGTTTAGAGCTAGACGATCCTGTTTGGGAAGATGAGACACAGGGGACAGGTAACATGTCTGCTGAAGGTCCAGATTCTCCCTCTACCATTAATCCCTACTTAGAAACACTGACTTAAGAGTTTTTGCTTTTTACTAGACTTGAGTGAAAAGCCTCTGGTGTGGCCATGTAAGATAAGCACCGGACTGCTAATCACCAGGTTGGTGGTTCTAACGCACCAGCTGCTCCTTGGAAACCCTATACAGGGTTGCTATGAGTTGCAATGGACCGGTGGTACTTACCAACAACAAATAACATTTGCCACGTAGGAATCATTTCTTTGAACCTGGTACATGTGGTGACGTCTGTGTTGTTTAGAAAACCTATGAGACAGAAAGTACTGCTACATACATTAGAAAGTGGGTGGGTATGATTAGGGAGAGATCATTAAGAGACGTGTTTAAATTCACCTGCTGGTTAGGGACAGAGAGGGGACTTGAAACTGGCTAGAAAGGTAACCCCCATGCTATCTGATGAAATGAATCAGCTGTCTTCTTCACATAAACCAGATGAATGATTAGTTGTGCTTTTATGCCTTGTCATTTCATTTTTAGATTAGTGGTGCTTTGTTTCCTAATTTGGCTATAATAAGTTCGCATTTATATGTAAAGATTTATTCTGTAGACTAGTATCCACAATGAACAAAACTTTAGACCTCTCCTTATTCAGTGTAGATGCTTGCAACATAATGCTACAGAAATCTACCCCAAAACAAGTGGGTGAGTGCAAAAGTGGCTAAATATTAGGGTGACAAGGCAAAGAATCTTTCCCTTGGTCACCAAGAATGAAAGTACAATGGCACCTATCACAGGCATGGTCTTCCTAAACTATGGGACATGAAACATGAAAGTTAGAAATAACAGTGTATGGTAGGAAATTAATTAGGACTGATTTCAAACTATATTGTTACCTACTAATTATAATGTGAGTTAAGTAACAAAATGAAAAATGAGGCGAGATTTGTGGAAGGTTTTAAAATAAGACACATATGCTAAATGCAATCTGAAAGGCACAAATCCTGGTGCAATATATGACATAAAATATTAGATTTTGTTTAGATTAATAGGAGATTAATGGTGCTGTAGGATAATGTGCTGGACCTCAAGGTCGGTTAGAACGTCAAGGTCAGTGGCTTAAACGCACCACCTCACAGGACCGCTATGAGTTGGAACAAACTCCATGGCACTTCACAACAAAACAATAGAACAATATGAGACCATGGATTCCTGGTGTGGTGCTGTAGGATCAGAACTAGACTGGGAACCATGAGGTCAGCAGTTCAAACCCACCAGTTGCTCCTCACAACGCTGTATAGACTTGACATTTAGCAACAGCAGCATTTTTTAAACCAGAGAAAATATCAAATATACATCTGGACCTCACAGTTGCTTTCTGACCTTCCTGATGAAAAGTTACTTTTTCTGTAAATGCTAAATCTCTAACTTCAACCTGGAAACCAGTCTCACCATAATCAAAAGACCACTTGTGCTTTTAGTAGAGATACAGTTATTGTCTCCATTAATACATCATAAATGCACAGTTAGAGAAACCACTTGGATCCGAGCAGCCAACAGATTAGATGATTCTGCACAAGATTAGGTGCTTCCCATGTATTTATCCTGTTTCTGTCCCAGACATGCCAGGCTCACCTCTGTGAGAAATAACTCTGTGGGCATGGTCCACAGTCAGTGAAGGACTAGGGAAATCTTGGGGGTAGCAGCCTGGGATAACAAAAGGAGGTGAAAAACAGGTTTGACAGGCTAGGAACTTTAAAATAAGAATACAACCATCAAGGAAATAGGGAAAGTTCATGGGGGAAAGGGGGAAACTAACTTTAAATGAGAATGTTCCCAGTAAGGTCTAGCAATTGACCTTGGAAGAGAATGTGACTTTGTAATACCTAGTGAGACTAGAACTGGAGGAGGGACTTTTTAGGGACAGGGGAACAAAATTTTTGCAGGCCGGCCATGTCTACTGGGTTGGGCGCCTGATTTTACAAAATCGATGAAAGAAAACCTCACTCTCGCTAAAATGAGTATGAACAACATTTCTTCCAACTCTAACTATCCTGGACTTCTATCTATGATTCCAGCCAC